CACTTACCAAGCAAGCAAATGATATTTCATACACCTCCGCCCAAAGAGCGTCTTGAACCACCGTCACGTCCTAAAACATTCAAATAAGCACAATAAGACTCGATTACAAGTCATAAACCAATTCCACATACTACCAAAATAGGGCTCCATAAGAACGTATAAGTACTAGAGTAGACTAGGGAAAGTCCGGAACTGAAGTTAAGCTCTAAACCCTAAAAATAGTTTTTGACATCATTTAGCGGTTTTGACACCATTGGCACTACGATTGTCAGATGGAGGTGCAATATATACCGTTTCGAAGCTAAAAGAAAGGTCTACAATGTTGAAGAAGGCCACTCAGTCCAGTTTGTAGTGAAACTAGGTCAAAAATTCAATGTACTGAACCAGAACCGCAAAAACAGGTTAACAAACCGCATTCTAGTTAAATAACCGTAATTCAGGCTACTAAAGTCCAATTCAAGTGATTCCAAAGCCATCTGAAAGCTAAGATACCAGGCTATGTTTCTTAAGAAGACATCCACAACCAAATCAGAAGTATTCCCAATCAAATTAGCCAATTACAGAAGCAATTATCAAGTTCGGGTAGAAACAGGGCAGCAGGGGTATTTCAATCTTTTCACAAGCTACGTTGTTGCAATTGAGCTGAAATTTTGCAGGCCTCTCTAAAATATCATTCCCTACAACTTTCATGTTTTAACCCAAGGCTAATTCAGCCTTTAACTATGAGGAACAGTGCCGGACAGAATGAGGGGAAATGAAACCCTAACTTCCACAATTTCCTTTCAATACGGAAATTTCCTGCAATTAACCACAATTTACACCTTCTAGCTTCATTCCAGATCATTTCCCATCACCATACAAAGCCACACCATATTACACATATGAAACAGAAAATTCATGGAATAAATAGAAAAATTCACCAATCTCAACCCAATTCAAGAAATCTTTCACCCCAATCACACATTTAATCAACACAAATCATTACTTTGACATTATCAAGACCAAAGGAAGCATTCCCTAGCTACTCACATTGAAATGCAAGAAAAGGAACAACTTGGCACCTTAATTCTCCAAACCACTCCACTAGTCACCTCACAACCACTCACTTAAGGAGTTTCATGGAGAAAATACAAGATTAAATGGTTGGTTTGTTGGATTTGAGCAAGATTGAAGTAAGAATTTGGAGAGCTTTTCCTTTCTTTTTGCTTGGAGTTGGCTGGCCACAAGAAGCTAGGAAATGAAGAGATTTTGGTTAATTTTTTTGATTTATTTGGTAAAAGGGTGAATAGTAGTCAAAAAGTAAAATTAATCTCCAAGTGACACTTGTCACTTTTAGTAAATGCATGGTTATCTCTTTGTTCCTCTCACACCACTCCACTTGGTAACCTCTAATTATCTCATAACACCCGATAAATTAAACCCAGCATCCAAAACTTAACCTAACTGGTCGAATTTTTCTGAACTTTCCGCACTAGCGGGTCCCACGTCCGGTATACGCTCTTAATTTCTTAAAAACTAACCGATACTAGAAAAATCACCAAAAAACTATATTTACTCATAAAAATTATCTAAAAATTTTTCTAATAAAGAAAATGCAGAAAAACATGCCATTAAATATAATAAAACCTAGAAAATGGAAAAATTACGGGGTCTCACAGATACGCTATTGTGCCTTTTGTGATTTCTTTTTTTATGGATACATATTGTTTATATTTTTGCGGACTATATAGATTCTAAAATATGTGCCAAATAGTGCTCTTTGATTTCTGAAATTTCGCTGTTGCAGGAAATATTAGACTTTGTCTATGTATGTGTGATGAGAATAAATTAGCATCATTTGTCCTGCTCCATGAAGCATTACTTTTCATTTCGTTAATTGCTGGGTTACTGTTTAGAGTTATTTATTTGAATCATTTGTGAACTCTTAATTAGAATTGATAAAGTCTATAGATCCTTTGTGAAACTAGATTATTAGTTCACTATAGGGTTCTTATATGATTTGGTAGTCCATTTTCCAACCACCTCTCGTGCAAGTGGGGTAGTTTTTTTTTTTTTTTTTAAATTCAAATGACCCGACCCTACTTTTTACTGCAACCACTCTCGCCTCCAAATCCCTCAGTTTCATCATCTCTTTCTTCCTCCTCCTTCCCTCAACAGAGACAAAATGTAGAAAGAAAAAAATGAAAGACTTGGAGACAATATTTTATGACATAGCTTAGGAGTACATTTCATCGTTTACCAATAGTTGCTTAATGATTTCATCTTATTTCTTTAAAGAAGTAAGAGTAAAAAGTTATGTTAAGAGAATTTCGATATGAATCAAAATATTCTTCTACACAAGTCTCAGTGGATGTGCTTGATAGATATATATTATGACCTAAAAACAATTTTATCCCCAGTGTGGTCTTAGGTGCTATTGGCGTACATTCAGTAGAATAGCTTGAAAATGGAACTTTCATATCTGCATTTTGTCAAATTATTTGGCCTTGTATTTTCCATGAACTTTACACTCCATAATTATCTTGACTGATTAGTTCATTAATTCTCCTTCAGTTAAAATTGAGCCTTTGTCTCTTTACACAATTGAAAATTTTTATGATGTAGTTATAGGGAATTAATAAGGCTTGCAAGGTTCAAGCAAGCTATGTTTCTGAACTGAATGAGTCGAAAGTTCCTAATAAATGTGAAAGCAAATTTGATGAAGATCAAGAATTAGAGTCACTTATAGATGGACAGATTTGCTTTAAGGTCAATCCCTTTTCAAGTGGTATGTTTTGAACCTTGAGAAATAATCTTACCAATGTGGATTGTCGACCATAATTTCTCCTGCACTTGGGTTATAAGAGCCTCATTCGTTTGAAACATTTACTAGTAGTTGAAGTTGCATTTTGGTTGTTGTTGAAATTCGGTGTAGAATCTATATTGTATTTTAGCATTGTACGCAAAATTAGTCACTTTGCTACAAATAATGGGTCCGTTTGAAAGGTGTGTTTTTTTGTATATTTGTATAAAACTTTACCATAATTTAGAATTAGTAGAAAAATTTTTATGTATTTAAGAGTTGGGAAAACAATTTTTCTTTTTTCTTTTCCTTTTCCTTTTCTTTTTTCTTTTCTTTGTCTCTTTCTTCTTCTTCCCTTCCTCTACCCTCCTTCCACCTTTTCCACTGCTATCACCCCACTTCTTTCCCCGGCGCTAGCGTTGGAACCTCTCTCCCACCTGTTTTCTTTCTTCCCTCCCTCCCTCTCTCCTCCCTCCCTTGGTTGGGTGGGCACAAATCTTTTATTGCCGTGCAATGCACCACAGGAATTGCCTAGTTGTAGTTAATTGGAATAAAACGATCCAATCTTATATATTGTGGGTTTATTTATTTATTTATTTTACTTTTCCATTCTAAAATTGACATAAAAAAAGGGTTAATTCCATTATGTATTCTTGAACCATACCTCAACTCCCACTTCATTCGCCAAATTTCAAAATGAGACATTTTAATTCCTAAACTATAAAATTCATCCCATTTAAGTAAAATCGTTGTTGGAATCCATAAATGTAACGGAAAAATTGCCTAAAGCTCATTAAATGCTTACCATAACCAAAATAAGCCAAACTTAATAGGGACATAAATGTAATTTTATAGATCGTTAAATCCTTTTTTCCTTCTCACCGGTAGATCTGGATCCATCGTTGCTATGAACAACAACTCCTTTCCCACCATTTCAACCCACTAAAAGTCTATAACCTGCAAAATAGCCCCATCACCAGCATATTAAAAAAAACTATAGCAACAATTTCCTTATACTTCATTGCCATAGATTTGGCATGATTGGAATAGTCTTACAGACACAAGAAAGCCAAAGGCAATAGTTCATCAGAATGACCGAGGTAACTGCATCCTTAATCACAAACACAAAAAAAATGCAATCAATAACCAATCCTTAACAACAAGCCACATTTACTGTCAAAACAAATGCAATCAATAACCAATCCTTAACAACAAGCCACATTTATTGTCAAAGCAAATGTGCACCTTTGTGACAAACAAAAACACATTGACATTTAGAGCAAAAGCATAAAAAGAATTTATCTGAAATTTGGAAATCAAGATGGAAACTAGAAGCCCCTTTCACCAAAGTACGTGCGACGACCATCCAAGAAACTGTTAATAAATCAAAGAATATGGTACAACATAGCAAAAATAGATGGAGTTAGAAGGAGAAGGAGAAGGAGAAGGGAGTTAGAAGAGGTCAAGCGTGAGAGAATAGATGGAAAGTAATAACGGAAAAGGACTTGAAAAGTGAGCGAATGTGAAAATTTTTGGTTTGTAATAAGTTGAACAGTTCGCCAGTTGGGGAAGGAATGAGGGTTTTGTTGTAATAGATCCTAGACGTGAAAGTAGAAAAGGAACGAAGAAGATGACAAGAGGAAAAAAACGAAAAAATAGAAAATTTTGTCGAATAACAACAAATTTAAGGGGATTTTATTGTTTTGGGAATTACTTTTCTATCCTTTGTAGGTTTGATTTATTTTGGTTACAAAACAGAGCTTAGCAATATTTCCATTAGTTTTGTAGATTCTGTCAAGAATTTTACTTAAATGAGATGAATTTTATAGTTTAGGGATTAAAATATCTCATTTTAAAGTTTAGGGACTAAAGTCGGAGTCGGGCTATAGTTCAAGGGTATAAAATGGAATTAACCCAACAAAAAAGGGAAAAAGCCCAACTTTAATTTTAAAAAAAAATATATACATATACACACACAACTATCATTATACAAATGATAGTAAAGACGTTATACCAATAACAGTGACAAAAACCATAATAATCATATATCATTAACAATAATAATACTAATACTAATCTTATGAAAAAAAACCAAAAACAAATTAATACCAGTAGTAATAGTACTATTAGTACTAGTTATACAAAAGGCATTCTTTAATTTTCATTTCCGTAACGGGTAACTAATCCTAACATCAAACTCCAGGTGACATTAATTTCAAAAAAAAAAAAAAAAATCCAGGTGACATTTATCAAACTAAACTTTCCTTTTTCGCAAGCCAGAACGCCACTCCTCTGATTTTTCTCTTTCTTCATCCGTTTTTCTACCGAGGAAGCTCTGATGATGGACTTCAAAGCTAGATGGAGCTTCTCCTTGCTGTATCTCATCTTGATTTTCGCATTTGTACATATAATTTATAGCTGTATAATGTCCCACAAACTCACACTTGATAACCAAAAAGTCAGGCTCAAGAAACAGCCACAGCTCCCTTTACGCTTTAGCTCTGATGGGACCTTCAAAATCCTCCAGGTTCGAAGAAATTTCAAGAGAATTTTAGGTTTTTCTTGATTTTCTTGGAAAATAAAGATCTGGGTCATTGACCATTTTCTGTGTGTGTGTTTTTTTTTTGGCCTGTTGATTTATTGGTTGTTTTAGGTGGCTGATATGCATTATGGAAATGGGGCGGTGACTCGGTGCAGGGACGTTTTGGAAAGTGAGTTTGAGCACTGTTCTGATCTCAACACCACTCGGTTTCTCAGGAGGCTGATTGAGGTTGAAAAGCCAGACTTTGTTGCTTTTACAGGTATTTTGGTTATGTACTATGCAATAATTGTTTTATTTTATTTTATTTTAGAAGAGGCAAGTTTTGTGGGATTAGCTCCATATGACAATATATCTTGCAACCATTTGCGAAATAAAATTAGAAGCAGAAGACAATTCCATGTTTGCTAGATTTTTGGATGTAAAGCCTTTCTGAGAATCTTTATGCTCCTGTTGTTTTCATATCTATTTGGCAATAGAAGCAAGGATTACAATTGAGATTGGAAATTATTTCAAGCCATCTATCGCTGGTTTTGCCAAAAGATTAATGTGCATAAACTGCAGCCAGTAAATCTTAGTTGTCGTGGGAAGTGAATCAACAGGTTGCATTACAATGAAAAGTCTATATTTGTATGTTGTGGCTCATTTTGTATCTGAATCCACTAATATTAAGTATTTGCTAACGAGTTTTTTCATGGGAAATGGTAATTAGAAAATAGTGGATGTAGATGATCTTTGACATATTAAAGCTGATATAGCAGTTAGCATTTCAGTGTTCCATGGAAGCACCATCTCTCAGTCTGTGAGGTAAAAGCCGGTAATTTTTGTCTTTTATTTACTTTTCTTTTTTTACTAGTATTTTTTCCCATTTTTAGTATCTGAAACCATAGATGGCAATTGAATTAAAGCTGAAGTGAGGAAGATCTGTTATTTCTGCACAAACTTGTGGGCTGCATGTGTGATCTGATGTGTGGTAAAAGAGTGAGTACTCACACTCAAGTATTAGGAGTATATGCGAATAACTTTGAAACAGTTGAGGGAAGAGATTGTAAGAATTCTACTTAAGGTAATGTAATGTAGATTAATGTTTGTTCTTGCATAGTAAAGTAAGAATAGACAGAGTTATGCTTATGTACTGCTGCTACATATAGGTCAAATGCTCTGGTAAGTGCATGATCATTAATTACCATGTGTATGTCAAGAGTAGACGAGCTCTCTTCTATACTGTATTTGGTGGTAGTTTAAATGCCGTGTGGCTTTTACTGAGTCACAAACCACCTTCACTATACTGGATTGCTGCATAGTCTCACACAGAAGATACAATTTTTATTCAGTTGCTCATTTGGCACTCTTCTTGCCGCACTACTGTGAAACTTGATACGACTACAAAATCTGTGGTTAAATCCAGAGATGGGTTCTAAAATTTCATAGCAAGGGTTAGAATCTGTTTGAGTGAAAGAAGAATCAAGTGTTATGTAAAGGCCCCATACAGAGAGTTAAACTACTTCACCTGGAACAAATGTTTTTGCTTCTTGGACCAATGACTTCAGACTTTCACCGTTCTTCTCTGTTTTTGTTCCTTTTGCTCATTCTTGTCCTTAATAAAAGTAATTGCTTCTTAATGTCATGCAAGCTTTTGTTCGCTAGCTTTGCTTATCTAGTATTGTTTTTGCCTTGGAATTTAACATTAGTAATTGCATCCCAGGTGCTCACTTGATTTAAATCTTGCAGCTATTTTGTAGTGCAATGTGGTATACGGACAGAGTTTTAAGAAGAATAATGCCTTTATTTTTGTAGAGATGCAAATTATATTGTAGGTTTCCTTGTTAAATGTGAATGCCTCACTAAGCTATATCCTAAAGCTTCAGCAGTATATCAGCTCACATATGTGTATTGGTTGAGTTAGCAAACGCTGAGCCTTTTTATGATCTGCAATACACTGTCTGCACCACAAACTGTAAATTCGGGGTGAAAGATAATTGGATATGATACTTGGGTGGAAAATTCAATTAGTTTTTGGCATTTAGTGGTGCATGTCTAGTTGTGTAACTGGGCCTTAAACACTCTCAAGAGTACAAGTTAGGAAGCATTTGAATTCTCAGCAGAAATGTTCATGATTTTGAGCAGGAGCTGTTGTTATGGAAAGTGAAACATGGAGATTTTGATCATACATAATTGGTATAACTGATATTTTGTATGATAAGTCTATATGTTGCTTTGTCAAACTATCTTGGACCCATCTATTTGATCCTTTCTTTGTTAATGGCAAAATGTTTTTGGTTTTTTGCATTTGTTCTCTGTGATCTAAGAGACTTTATCGATCAAATTTCATAGACTAGGCGCCCTTTTTATCTTTTTCTTGTCCCAGAAATATGTGGTAATGAAATATACCTCTAACTTATGCTGTAATCTAATTGGTACAGAACCATTATGTTGATAAAATGGCCCTTGATGAGTGTTGTGCTATGAAACCAGTCATAGACCATTCCTTTTGGTCCATGCATTAGAAATCATTTAACTAAAGCTTCTAATGACACTTGTCATATGTATCTTTTTGTTTTTCTTAAAGCACAGAAATAGCAAGTAATGGTAAATAAACTGCAGGAAACAGGATGGTTTTTTTATTTTGGGGTATTAGCTAAAACAAAGAAGTTTCTCACTAATTATATAGCCTCCTTTTAGGAACACCTTGGTTTCTGTTATTCCCAAATTTTAAATGGATCGGTCTAACGTGTGACATTGGAACACATTTGAGGTTGGTCTGAAATAAACTAGTGTATGCTAGGAAGTGTGATGGAGGACATTTGTGTTAGAATCAACATGCCAACTTCATGAGTTTACTGTTTTTACTGAGTAGGTTTAGGTGCCTGACTAACTTGATGCCTTCGATGAAAGCCAAGGTGAGGATGTCATATAGCATGTGGACAGAATCTCAAAAATTTAAACATTAGAATTTGTTAATATGACTTTTCTGGTGTTCCGGCTATTTATTAGGTTTATGCAGTTCCCAATTTTTCTTTTGCAATTTTGCTTGGTTGTACTGCCAAAACCTGCATACATGTTTTACACACTAAATTGGGGAAGGATTATCACTTTACGTTAGTGACATGAAATGTGCTTACCGTGGTCTGCCTTCGTTATCTCTGTTACACCTGTCTATAAGTGCAAAATTGTTTATGTCATACTTGAGGCTAGACATGCATATGCCATTACATACAGATAATGTCCATGCAGTTGTTGTCCGTTTCTGTGCAAAGTCCATCCTTCTGCCTTGCCAGCATATGCATAACCAGAATTGTTATTTATCAGCTGACCTATGTCCATTATAGAATAGAAAAACCTTAAGTTGGGCTTATAATGGATTTGTCAAAAATTCCAGGTTTTTTTATATGAATTGAAAACATTGCTAATATAAGTTCAAGAATGACGATCCAACTTTTAATTAGATATGTTGATAAAAGGAGTTGCTACTTCACCTTGTAGTTTAAGAAAGAGTGTCAGTAAGTGTTTCTTTTGGCCTAATAGAAGGATATTTGGAATCATAATCATGATGTTTGAATTTGGAATTTTCAGTTGGCCTCCAATGTCTGGAATTGATGTTTATATCTTTTTTCTTCAAGTTGGAAAAGCAAGATACTAGAAGGAATGCCTTGAAAAGACTGCATTAGCATTTTGGTAACAGTTTGTGTTTTTGGATAATGTCGTATGGAAAGCAAGAGGTCAGTGGTGGTTGAAAACAAGATTTTTGAAAATTATAGCATTTACATGTACCCTTTTTAGCGGACTTGATAATGCACAATCTGTAAATGCCATCATCGGCAAAGGTTAATTATGCAGCTATTATGGTCTGGTTCTACACAAGATCATGAGTTTGAAGGGTGTTCCATAGTGGAAAGAGTAGCTAATTGTAGAAAATTGGATGGCCATCTTGTTGTTAAATGTGGCAGGGGGTGGGTTTAGGTTGGTTTTAGTGTCAGATTGCTAAGAAAGTTGACAAAATGATATGTGAAGGATTGTTAATTCATTCCCAAAGTGATTCATATAAGTGCTCAAGCTCAAACTTACACCTGGTCTAAGTTTATCCTTCCTGGTGATTGTTAATTTATCCTACCTCAATTTGAAAACTTTCCAAACCCTTGAAAACTATTCATTAGTGCCTTAATTATGGTAGTCATTCAAGACAGAAATTAGCAGTGACGTCTGCAGCTTGCATTGCTGCTGAAACAAACTTCAAAACTTCCTTTTTGTTGGGTCTCTCTTGTTTCTCTTATGGACTCCAGTAGTTAAGCTGCTCAGGCAACAATCAGGATTGTACATTTCTTATCAACTATTCTCCTTGTGATTGATTACAGCATTTAACCTTGGTCAGAAAAACTTTACATGTGAAAAAAGAAATGTCTTTCATTTTTGGAATTTTGGTTTTAAGCACTTTCCTACAGAATTTCACTCTCCCTCTGTCATTAATGTAACTTCATTCTTTAGGGGACAACATATTCGGGACAAGTGCAACTGATGCAGCAGAATCCATGTTCGAAGCTTTTGGCCCTGTCCTGCAATCTGGAGTTCCGTGGGCTGCAGTTTTGGGGAATCATGACCAAGAATCTACTATGACTCGTGAAGAATTGATGTCTTTCATCTCTCTCATGGATTATTCCCTGTCGAATACCTTTCCATCAGCAGAGGATAATCTCGAGTCTTCCAACCAAAATCCAGTAAAAAGAATTGATGGATTTGGGAATTACAACCTAAGGGTATGGGGTGCTGTAGGTTCCCCATTTGCTAATAGTAGTGTTCTCAACCTATATTTTCTTGACAGTGGAGATAGAGCTGTTGTTGATGGTATACGAACTTATGATTGGATTAAGCAATCTCAACTTAGTTGGCTCCATAGTGTTTCCAAAAACTTTCAGGTAACATGAGCCCAGATTCCGTGCATAATTGGACTTCTTTGTTTCCAAATATTTATTATGTTTTTCCTTGTCATGGTTTTGGGATCATTGGTTGGCATTTCCCATATGTCAGTTACTTGGCAAAAGATTTCATTGTCCACAAGAATGCACAGAAACAAAATATTAAACAGAAGTCTTTATTTTTTATTCTCATAAACTGTTTTTTTCCCTTTTCTGGTTTACAAGTTGCATGGAAGAGATTTCGCCAATTTGATTTAACGTCTTGCAGGCAACACAATAACAGGGACAAAAGCCAGAAAATGGTCAATTGGCTTGCATACCCTTGACATGGTCAAATCCTCCTGCATTGGCATTCTTCCACATTCCAATTCCAGAAGTGCGTCAGGGTCCCATCATGGAGATTGTTGGCCAGTATCGGGAGTATATAGCATGTTCATCAGTTAACTCTGGAGTCCTACAGACCTTCGTCTCTATGGGTGATGTGAAAGCTGTATTTATGGGTCATGATCACACCAATGATTTCTGTGGGAAGCTACATGGCATCTGGTTTTGTTATGGTGGGGGTATTGGATATCATGGTTATGGCAAGGCTGGCTTGCCAAGGAGAGCAAGGGTTATAGTGGCAGAACTTGGGAAAGGGGAGAAGGCTTGGATGGGTGTAGAGAGGATCAAGACATGGAAGCGACTTGGTGACGAGAATTTAAGCAAGATTGATGAGCAAGTCTTATGGGAGAGATGGTCATCAAGATGATGGGCATTTCAGGTACTTTGGTTTAGGATATTAAATACTACTTTCATTCTTTTATTTGTGTTTCACTTCGTATCAAGTTAGGTGCTGCTAGTATGATGAAAGCTTGAGCCTAGTAGCTTAATTCGAGCATTGAGCGGATCATAATTGAATTCATGATTTAATTTATGCTAGTTTTTGTAAGTTGACAGCCAGAAGGATAGAATTAGGTTTTAAGCCACATGTAGATTAAAGTATTGCTAGGGTTTGAAGTCATTGGCAATTAATCAGTCCTCAGCTTTAAAAGCAACCAAGTATCCCTCTACCAGATGATGCTGACTTATATGTTGTATGCAAACAAAAAGATAAAAATAGTGATCCTGATTTCTACAGTGTATATCTTTTGTTATGGTGTTTAATAGGAAGCTCGGACCATCCCATCTACTCCTCTTTTATCCTTTCTTTTTGATAAATTTGTGTAATTCAAATAGTTCTTGTCAAATAACCTTTATCATTCTGTTTCATTCTTCTGTTGCATTTGATGGTAGACCTGATGAGGATTCTAATAATAGGTGCATAAAAAGCTCATAGAAGCTTGTACACAATAGTTTGTAGTCTCGCACTATCATGCAGTAGGGATTTTTGTTCCCAATTCTTACAATGTTCCGTTCTCACGCATCTCATTCTCCCTTCCATCCACCCCACCCTCCTCCTATAAAAAAAACCCTACTCCTATAAATTGTAAATGCATCTGGTTTAATTCAAAAGCTTGAGAAGCTGTATTGCTTGGAAAATACTCAGATCATGAATTTTATATTGCTCTTCCTGCTCTTGGCTGTATGAAATCAAAGTTGTCAAGTAACACTGGAAATGGCTAATGATTTACCTGAAACTAAAAGACCACTTCTATGTTGAAAATTTTTGTAGGATTGTCTCGTGTCGAATCCGTCTTAACCCCAATGACTCTGCTTCTCCAGGCTTTCCAGCTTCTGAATACATCCTGTTGAAGTTGTATCTTCCTTGCAATGCTTGTATTCTCCTCTTCTTTTTCTTGTTGGGACAAAATGTCTTGATGTGGGAAATTGGTTGTGGCTGTTCGGATTGGTGCCCTTGCCAATCACATTAATGTTGACAGAAATTCAACAGTTTGATAAATATTAATTGATCGTTGTTACACTGATATCATAAAGATCTTTCGTGATACTATTTGAGTGGATGCATTCCAGATGAGCAAAAAGATGACTTCAAATTTGATGGAGATTATTCTAGTATATAATTAAAAATCTGTTTGGTTACTTCTTTACTTGTGGTATAATAGTAGTGTATCATACTATTATTGTCGTTTATGATATAATGAGCCACTGTTATTATACCATGTACAATTCAAGCATTGCAGTACAAATTTTAAAACCTTCTTTTCCTGGCATTGTTGGCAATTATCTGGCATTTTGCAGTTAAATGTTTTTTGTTAAAAATTATTTTGTTGAGAAGTGGTAAAATGAAAATGTAGAATTTTCATTGAAGTATACTACTAATGCAGGGTTAAAGTCGTTGATATTTGTGATCATCTCAGAAAGAATTGAGACAAAAACTAGTCTGTGTGTATTTCTTAACAATGGTACATACTAGAAATATTTTTGATGCCTAACCTCTTGTATCCATAATCACATCTTTTTCAGAATTTACAGAGATCCTAATGAAATGAACCTACATATCACAAAATATCTCTTTTTTTTTTTCCTTTTCTTTTTCACTTAGTTGCTAATTTACATGTTTGGTAATCTGATTTTCCATGAGAAAAAGGAACCAATTATAAATGCTATAAAAGCTCTTTATTTCAGTGTGATTTTTTTTTTTACAACTCCTGCTGAGAGTACGGATTAAAAGACAACTAGCATGGCCCAGTGGTCCGTGGTAGCAAAGATTGTTCTACCTTTAAGGCTTAGGGTCCGTTTGGGATTGCGGTAGCTCTGCGGCAGCTTGTTGAAAAGTACTTTGCTAATAGAATTTTGAATAAGGTACTTGTCAAATGCTTAAGTACTTTTAAATATATTGTTTGGAAATATAATTCAATAAGTATTTATTATATTAGATAATATGTAATTTAAAAACTTTTAAAAGAGAAAATTTAGTTCATAATATAGGATAAGATGATTAAATTTGATATTTTATTTTGTAAATCATAAAAGCTACTCTAAAAGTACGAAATTTGATCTTTTGTTAAAAGTGTTTTTAACGCCAAAAGTTTTACTCCTAATTTTATGGGATGATATTCATCAAACACTTTTAGAGTATTTTAAGCATCTAAAAGTACTTTTTTTTTTTCAAAAGCACCACAACCCCAAATAGGACCGTAATCACCAAATTGTTTATTGGATCACTGTGGAATTCACTTTTTTATTGTACTTTTGCAAGGCATTATGTTAAAATAAAAAAAAAAGAAATAAACCTGCAATATTATCCAAACTTTCCCTTAAATGATATATGGCGGTACAATAAAAATTATTCTCAAAAAACCAATGGGTGCTTCCAAAACAAAAAGAAAAAACAAAAAGGGTGACATTAGACAAAAGCTTTGCCTTACACTTAATTTCTGGGTTTGATTGACGTTTTTTGGGCCTTGCTCTCAAAGGTGGAATACTCGGTGGCGTCGCTGTCGGAAGAGAAGCCAACGATTGCAAAAGGGGTTTAGCCGTTTGAGAGAGGAGAGGTAAAGCATTGCCTAGAGAAATGGTGTTTCCACAAAGTGACTCAAATCTAAATGCATTGTTGAGTTTGTTTATGGATGACCATTATATCGTGATGAGCTAGGCGTTTTCTTGACTTAGGTGACTAGAGGGGCTGTGATGCAATTTGTGATAAATAAGAAGGATTTCCAGTTTTTTATTACTTTTTAATTTAAATGACAGATTTTGCTTCTGACAAATAAATAGCACACTTTTAAAGGTTTCACGACTTTTGAGGGTTCTCACGGGGTTAAAGTTCATAGAAAAGCGTCCAAAAGTCTGCTAACTTTGACAAAAAAAAAAAATAAATAGCACACGACATATATGACTATCCTTCCGTCTCCATCCTATCTCCAGAATGACCAAAAAGTCACATGACATACTCTCCTTTTCGATTTATCCCAAAATTTTTGTCACTTTTCAAATATGATAAAGAAATTTGTTGTGTTTTCCTGATTTTAGCACTTAAAAGACTCGCATAAAAATGTGGTTAAAACTTAGGTTGTGGGGTCTAGGAAATGTCATTAGATGATTGTCCACTTCTCAATTTGGGCGCAGGACACGTTCATTTTTCTTTGTTTTCCGAAAGCACATGGTCCTACTCCTAGTTTTCATGCTCGCATCGATTTAAATTTTAGGGATAATTTCAGAAATACCAATAAAATTTCACTGAGCATATACTTAGAAATACCAATAAAATTTCAGAAATACCAATAAATTTTAGGGGAAGTTTCTGACAATTTCATTGAGCTTTCCTGAGGTTTGAAAAATTATACATACCTCCCTTGTCATTTAAAATGATAATACTACCGTTAAATATTTTAGTGGAATTCTTTTGTTTGGTATGCTTATACTTAGAATGATTTTAAAATTATTTTTTCATTCTTTTTCCTTCTTATTTTAATTTTTGCCAATAAAATTGTAAAATTACCACTATTATCTTTAGTTTCTATTGTAACTAAATGTTGAACTAATGATTTTTTTTGATGTGTTAACTTTATATGTAATCGATGTTTTTTTCTAATCTTTGTTTCCTATTTTTTGGTATTAAAATTAATAATAAATCAAAAATAAATTGCCCAAAATCACTACTAAATTATGATAATCCTACTACTCAAAAAATTCATAAATTCTGAATCAATTATTTCAATATTTTATTTTCTATCTTATAAATCTAAATCCATAATAAAATACCATCAAAAGTATCATATTATAGTGATAAAATTATTATTATAGTTGTTTATCAAATAATAGGTACGGACATGAAAAATTCAGCGTCTTTTCCTTATAATTATATTAGATAATTTTATAATTCTATGGGGAAGTAAATTAAAACTCATTACACAGGGGTTTTTTTGGGTATTCATTTTAAAATTTGACCAAGTCAATATTATTTTAAGATTTTGTTACTAAAACTAGGGTTGCAAACGAGCCGAACCGAGTCGAGTTTTGAGCTAATCGAACCGAGTCTCGACTAAATTTTACCGAGCTCGAGCTCGACGAGCCAGCAATTTTCAAACTCGAGCTCGACTCGAATCAAGTCGAGCCAAGCTCGAGCTCGAAAAAAATAAAAAATAATTATTTTATTTTTTTAAAAAAATAAAATAATATTTTTTTCTTAATAAATAATAAAATATTAAGGATATATACGTAATTTTACTATGAAAATAAAAAATAAAAAATATATATATAATATACGTAATTTTATTATTAAATAATAAATAAATAAATAAAATATATATATATATATATATATATATATATATACTCAAGCTCGCGACGAGCTTAATATTCTGAGCTCGAGTTCGAGCTCGAGCTCGACTCGAGCTTGACTCGAGCCGCTCGTGAGCGGCTCGATTCGTTTGCAGCCCTAACTAAAACTATCAAATCAAGAGAGGTGTGTATAATTTTCAAATCTTATGGGAGCTCAATGAAATTGTCAGAAACCTCAGGGCCCTGAGGTTTCTGAAATTATCCCTAAATTTTAACGTAGAAATAAGGGCAAGAATGAAACTAGCATACAAAATATGGGTCTGAAAGATTAATATTTGCATTAGATGCCAAAAAAGTGGTAGAAATCAATTTGCCAACGTTTATTGGGTTTTACCATGCATTTGGTTGGGGTAATGGGCCTCCACTATGACTTTTTAAAGGGGTTGATTCTGATTGATAATGTTTGATTGACAACTATCGGTATTAGGGATGGCAATGGGGCGGGGGTGGGGCGGGGTTCCTTCCCCCATCCCCCGCCCCATTGTCAAATAACTCCCCCCGTTCCCCGTCCCCCGCCCCCGCTCCATTTCTCCGGCGGTCCCCCGCGGTTCCCCGCGAGAAAAGAAATCAACTTATCATAAAATGTTCATTTACAATAATTTACTGAAATTTTTATTAGGTTGTACTTGATTGCCCCTCTATGTATATCTGACTTTCAGTTACCAGCCCATCTCCTGACCAAAATATATCATTTGGAGTTATTTCAGCATTATACATATATCCATGGCTATCTTTTTTTTTTATAATATTAAAATCTTAAACCATTTAATTGCTGTAAAACGAGTATTAGTACATAAGATGCCAGATATTCATATCCAAAACCACAGCATAGCTTTACAATAACATAGAGCTTTTCCCATTAAGTAATAGCAGGTCTCTTAAACTAATTAGCTAAAGATGACCCCCACCATAATAAGTTATATCCATGGCTATCTAAAATGATTGAACAACTTAGAAATTTATGCACACAAAAGCCTAGTACATGAAGCAAAAAAAAAATCAGAAGCAAGCCTATACGAAAAGCAAAACTCTTCTCGTATGTCCAAGCATTTTTGAGAACTAACAGGAGAGAGGAAGAATTCCCAAACACTAACCAAAAATACCTTGAACAGATAGGGGTTTTGTTACTTTTATGTATATATATATATATTTTATGCGGGGGATGGGGCGGGTGTATGTTGCCCTATCCCCCACCCCGCTTTAAGGCGGGGGTAAATATTTTGCCCCCGCCCCGCCCCATCCCCCGCCCCATTTGTACCCTCGCGGGGCGGGTGCCCTCCCCTATTGCCATCCCTAATCGGTATTGATTTATGGGAATGGAAGACCTAAAATTTTTCAAGTGTGATTATCGACTATGTTAGGGGATTTTGACCTCTGTAATCGGTAGACTCTAGAAAAGCTCTCCACACTTTTTCTTTTCTCATCTGTTCACTCTCATCTTTCCTCTAATGCTCCTACAATAGATCTGGAAAATCATTCTAAACACATCGGAGTATTTTGTATAATTAGGGAAATTTCAAGCAATATTCTTTCTCTCTTTTCATCTTGCAATGGATTTCACAAGATAGTTTGAATATAGGGTACTTGAGAGTTGAGGGGCAATGAAGTTTAAAATACGCAATAAACTTTTAACAATTATAACCCAACACTTTTGTTTTAATTTTTTTTTAAGTAGGAAGAGAATGAAATTTAAGACGTGGGAAAAGGGACAAGAGATTTGAATCCAAAATCCTCTAAATTCTAAGGTCTTAACTTTAGCCAATAACCCTGCATTTATATGACTTTCAAAAAAGCAAAAAAAAAAAAAAAAAAAAAATTTCGCCATTTTGGTACCTAAACATTTTCACTAAAGCCAATTTCGTCCTTTATGAATTATTTTAATGAATTTAGTATTTGAAGAAGTATTTACATCCAATGTAGACTTTTTACCACATTTTACTCAATCTGCGTGGACCTATGGGGGCATAGTTGTCACACTAGCCTAATCTTCTGCAATTAATGGATGAATAGATTAGAAAGATGATTGGAAGTGCTTAATGTTTAAAATAAAGGGGCGAGCAACTAGTCTTTTAAGCCATTACGGCTCCTCACAATTTCTCAATTCTCTTTGCAAAGGAGCTACAGCAACATGCATCAGTGGAGGAGCTATTTCAATGGTATCAAATACAAGCTGCTACCATCAATCAAATCATGGGGGTGAAGAAAGTAAAAAATTACTCCCTCGATCCGTCCCAAAATTTGGGACGCTTTTTGGGAAACACGTTTTTTATGTACAATAGCATAATGGGACACACTTATCTGATTATTCCAATCGTGCCCTTTGTTGTCCGTGGAGTAAAATAACAAGTTGTTGGGTGTTGGGGACCACTTGCCATTAAGACATTTGACTAAAAGGCAAAGACAAGTTAAAGTAAAGCAAACATCCGTTTCCAACTCTAACTATTCCTCTGTATACTTGGGTTTCATAAAATCAACAAGATCAGTTACAGAAGATTGACAATGGAAAAAGGTAAGATTTCTACAGTTCCGTCTATCACTTTGTTGGTGCTTTTTTTTTTATTTTCATTTTGTTTTATGATCTTTTGATCAATTTGAAGTAGATAATCTTGAGACTTAGCATAATTTAGCTAATCTTTTATTTGGCGCCATTTGTTGTTTTTCCCTTTTTTTTCTTGAAATTTGGCAGTTCATTGAAAATTTGTAGATGCATTTTTTTAAGCTTTTTGTTTCTCATGTTTCTTATAAATAGATTTTGGAAGCTGATAATTCTGATGCCTTTATTCTCTATATAATGAGATTATAGAGAGATTCGTCTATTGCACAAATTCTGTTTGATAATATTCCACAGTGAACATGGATAATCATAGTTTTCAAAATTATGAAATCTCTAGGAAAAAGTTGACAAATCAGCAAAGGCAAGCCATATTTGAAGCATTATTGCAATATAGTTATGGTGGGCAACTAGAAAGAGGATTAACCAAAGTTATTGCAACACAGTTCAAAATCAGCATGAGGACAGTACAAAGAATTTGGGAAAGAGCAAAGTCTACAATCATTAATGGAGGCTCGGTTGACATCTCTCGCAGGTTTCCTAAGAGGGCAGGACGCAAAAGGGTAGAGATAGACTTCAGTACTATCATGGAAATACCTCTACGGTGTCGAACAAATATTCGTTCTCTATCAACCAAAATGAAAGTTGCCAAGTCTACTCTTCATCGACGAATAAAAGAAGGTGTTATCAAAGCACATTCAAATGCATTAAAGCCTCACCTTACTGATGACAATAAATTGGTAAGACTCAAATTTTGTTTGTCAATGTTTCAACAAGAGAGTCTTAATGATGCACCTGTTTTCGAAAACATGTTCAATATGGTTCATATCGATGAAAAGTGGTTCTACATGACTAAGGAGTCTGAGAAATAATAAGTCTGAGAAATACTACCTACATCCTGAAGAAGAACACCCTATGAGGACTTGTAGGAGTAAAAAGTTTATTGTTAAGGTTATGTTTCTAGCTGCAGCTGCTCGACCTCGCTTTGATTGTTCTAGAAACAAGCACTTTGATGGGAAAATTGGAATATTTCCTTTTGCCTTCAAAGAACCAGCTAAAAGGAATAGCAAAAATCGTGTTGCTGGTACTCTAGAAACAAAGCCTATCCTATCAGTGACCAAGGAAGTGTATAGAAGGTGCTTAATTGATAATGTTTTGCTTGCAATTCGTGCTAAATGGCCACAAAGTGATGTTATCAGCCCTATCTTCATCCAACAAGATAATGCAAAACCACATATTGATCCAATGGATGTTGAGTTTGTGGCGACCCCACTTTCCCCTAAGGCAAACCAGAGGGTTGGCGGGCCGTCTGCCTAGCTCTCGCCAGGACTCACGCAAGCAAGCTAGCAAAAATCCTTCCGAAGTATAACCTAATCTATTACAACATCGTTTCCCTCCAAATAAGCCGGTTTCTAGAATCACATTAACTTCAGAGATAACAATGCTTTAAGATAGTCAACGTCGATTCTCAAAATACCTTCCCGATTCCAACCCAAGAAACAAAACATACAATTCAAATGCATCCTTACAAGCCAAGTAACAACTTCATACAAGTCTCATACAAATCCAGGGTTTACACTTTTCCATCTTCAAGTGGCAACCCAAGGCAAAACTACATTGTTTAACTCGAAATACATTCATAAAAGTAAACAATCTAGTATTACTTCCGAGCACCCTTGGTCTCAAACCCTGTAAAAGAAAACCACAACGTGGAATGAGCTACACAGCCCAGTGAGGTTCCAAGACACTCTAACAGTTCAAACAAATCAAGAACGTTGTGCATGTCATATGCATGGTTCGAGGTTACACAATGGCAGGTTATCATGAGGTGATAATCATTACCCGGGTAATTGCTACTTTGAAAACACATGTAGTAGTAGTACTTTTGCTGGTAACTTTACTATGAGTACAACTCATAAATTATCTAAAATCACTAACGTATTTTTGGAATGAATGACCATATAAATATATTTTCATGAATTTTTAGTCAAACAAATAGTGGCTCGTCTGACTAGAAGAACATTACAAGGATTGCTTCATCTCAGAGATTAATGCTCATGAGGAGTCTTACCCGAGAAATGTCAACTAGGAGAGCAATAACATTATAAATAGTAAAGCAAGCACAAAAAGATACAGTACTCGGTCTACTTCCCGTCCTTATAACTCCGATCCATAACTCCTTCGGTTGACTGGCCATCACCTTATCCCTCTAGTGGTAGTACTTGAGTATACCGAAACGGTTGTCCAGGGTTCCAACCTACTCGACCGAGTCCAGTCTTGGCTCGAGTAGGTCAGTAACCAAGGCAGGGCCCAAGTTCAGCTTGTAGCTTACAACATGCACAGGTAATCAAGTAATTCAACAAAAGGTAGAATTCATCATTTGAATAGGTCGAGTGAGGTAAAGTACACACTCGCCTAACTTCGATGGATCAGAAATCATTTTTCCAATTATCACATATCAAGTCACGAAAACACTTTAGCCAATTCATGTCGATATGCACTGCAAGTATACATTATTTATATAGGCATGAGTATTGTAAATACTTAACACATAGTACTTAGCACTTAATAATCATGAATAAGCATGTCCTAGACTTATTCAATTACGTATTCCTATATAGAACACTCACCTAGTCAAACAAGCGCGATAGGTCTCAAACAAGCGTTTTAGGTGTCCGCTCCGAGTTCCTCTTGGAGATCTCCTCGATTGCCTGAGTAAACAATAATTCAGGTACCACTCAATATCGCTACGAATTCTCTAGTTTTCGATGAAGATTGTACGCTAGTGCAATCTAAGAAATTAACGCGGAGATGAGCCTAAGAATTCGTGTAACTCGAGGTTCAAAAGTGGGGTTTTAAAACACAAGACAAATCTGATTTCCATCTCTGGATTCAAATGTCAAACAATCAAATGATATTGAAAGAAATGAAGAGTTCGAAACCCCTTAGTTTCCTTTAAGTTAGAAAATTTCAGATTTAACAAGTAATCTTTGAAAAATCATATCTTACTCTCTACAAGCCCAAAATTGGAAAACTTGGTACTATTGGAAACCTCTTTGAAAGTACTAAAAGTTCCTAGAATACACTTTTCCATGATTCTAAATGGAAGATAGTCAAAAATGGGCTCAAAATTACTGTTTTGGTTCATAAGGCAGATTTAAGTTGGTTTTTGGCCAACTTTGAAAATTCAGCAAAATTCACTTGTTTGGAACTAGCTTTTGAAATTTTCAACTCTATTAGTGTTGTAATCCAAGAGTATAACAAAACAAACGGAACAAGAAATGGGGTTTTGAGCACCAAGATACGGTAGCTCAAAGTTACTAAAATTCCCTTGTGAAACATGGGTTTTTCAAACTCGAGTCATGAACTTTGGTAATTTATTTGACCCATGAAACGGCCTCAGAATAACACCATAATTAGAAGTATACTACTACCATATAAGGGTTGTCCCTCTACCAAATTTCATGGAAAAATAACTTCGGAAAGGTGGTCAATCAAACACCTAAAATTTCGCAAATACTAAGACAAAACTGCCTTGAACCTTTTGTTTTTCCATTTCAGACATTTGGTCAAAGAAAAATTCCTCCAAACCTGGTTCATTTGTTTAGTCAAAATTTAAAGAACGTTCATGGTACATTTGGTAAGTGTTTAGCATCAAAATATTCAGTTAGCAAGTCTTTGCCAAACCTTGCATCAAATCTGTCTAAAAATCAGGGTTTTCAAGGACAGAGCAGGTTTCATATTTTGATCACAGATCACTCAAATTAACTCGGAATTTGGCATGGTTTAAGGTGTTGGAAAACACATTCATAGAGCTATAATTTCACAGAAGAAATCATTTTGAAATTCGGCACACAACTAGCTCGAATTCGAGTCACAAGTTGCAGCCTCAGCATTTTGTTCTTGTAAAACAGAGAAACAGAACAGCCGATTTAAAATAGTTGGTTTGGCTCACATACATGGGACCAGAACGTGCATTTTATATCGTCGGAAAGGTTGGAATGTCTAGTTTCAAATGCCGCTGACGGCACTCGATTTCGACATCGGAGCTCAAAATTATGACCGAAATACGAAAGCTGGTCAGAGCATTTCGGAAATAGTTCCAGATTTACTAGCTTTGTGAAATCAATTTATTTGACCATCCAAACCTCAATATTTTTTCAATGAAACTTTGTACACTATATATTCAACATATCAACATGATATACAAATCATGAAACCCTCAAAATTTTGCAAAAAGGGGTGCGATTAAAACAGAGCAAATCTGAACATTTTTGAACTATGCATCTCTTGGAGTCTAGACTAGTTAGGTATCATTAATCTACCTATTTAAACACTAAACTAGCATTATATCCATCATCAATCCAAGGGTGGGAGTTCATAGAGCCCACCATCAAAATTTTCCATTAAAACTCAAAGGAGTCACCATCGGCTAGGCTGGAAAAATTGCAGCAAATAGATAGTTTGGAAAACGAACTTTTCCCTAACAAAATTCATTACTTTGTTCACTCAAACTCAGCATGCATATGGTGATTATTGTGTTATGAGGTATATTGAACCACAATACGAAATTTGCAGCCAAGATTTGAAGAGAAAAACTGGAAATTCTTTCTTTCCCTCTCTCGGCCAACTCAACAGATTTCCAGCAATTAGATTGGTCATAAATCCAACTTTTCCTTCGGTTAATTCATGGTATTAGGTGCTAAAAATTAACATGCAAATACTTAACTAGCTAATCAATATTTCTAGTTCAAAATCGGATTCAAACAACAGCCATAATCATCCAAGAAAACCAGAAATTCTGTTTGCTACCTTCGGATGAGCTTGCATGCGGCCAGATTGTTTTTCATTCTTATTTTTCTAGCATAACCGAACCAAGGGGCTGCATGCAGAGCTTAATTACCTTGTTCTTAATTAGTTAAACGCATCTATCAGCTCAAACTACTACAAAGAGACAGAATTAAATCTGCATTTTCCAAATCAGTCCCACGGCAAATTCCAATTTCTTCCTAATCAGGTTTTTCTCATGCTTTGGTTTCATCATCCGAGACACAAACACTTCATGCATGACCCTAATTCACTGCATCTACCACTAATCAACTCCTTCTAACTCAGAAATTACCTCAGGTTGCAGCTTATACACGCGACAAGGTGCTGTCAATTTTTCCTTCTCTCGGATGGTTCGAAGTGCAGCCCGTTTCCTCTCCTTCTCTTATACAGGCTGGCGGATGAGATGAGGGAAAGCAGCAGGTCTCTCACTTTTATTTCTAGCATGCGGTCAGGAGGTGATGAAGTAGAAGGCTCGGCTCTCTCTCCCTTTCTCACTTCACTCTCGGTCACGGCAGAGGAGGAAAGTGGAGGGTGAAGGTGCTGTGGTGTTTTGGAGTTGGGGTGGTGAAGTGTTCAATTGGAAAAGGAGAATGGAACCGGCGGAGATGGCAAGGCTTCTTCAGTCGGTGGTGGTATTTCTAGTATAAGAAGTTAGTTTAGTCTTTTTTTTTAATAAAAATTCAATTAGGCTTTTAATTTAACCACGTATTCGTTATATGAAGTTTTCTCGAATCGATTATTTACTCCAGTCACGTATTTACTATTTTCACTTAACGGGCCTTCAGAAATTAAATTTCGAAACGAATCGCTTTAAAAATATAACTAAGCTATGGATACATTTAATTAGGCCTAAAAAGTTTGGAAAAAAATAAGGGTGAGTAAATACTTATTTTAGCCAGTAAAATAGATAAAACAAACGAAGTTTTTGAGTCCTCACAGAGTTCATAGAAGCCGCCACAAGAGAAGGTTTTGATATTCGTTTATCATTTCAACCACCTAATAGCCCTGATATGAATGTTCTTGATCTTGGGTATTTTAGAGCCATTCAATCACTCCAGCATCAAGAAGCACCTAACTCTATTGACGAACTAATTTCTGCTGTTGAAAAGTCTTTCGATGAATTATCATCTGAAAGTCTCAACAATGTGTTCTTAACCTTACAACTATGTATGCTTGAGGTGATGAAGAATTGTGGAGGGAATAATTACAAAGTTCCACATATTGGGAAGCAACGGTTGATAAGAGATGGAAATCTTCCTTTGCAAATTGGATGTGATAAGGAGCTTATTGACAAAATCATCCATTATCTACAAGCATGAATGTACTGGTATTGGTTAGAATTTCCATATTATTTAAACTTTGCTAACTTCTAAATTATGATAAAGGTAGTTATAATGCTATCTAACTTATGATTGATTTCTTTTTCTCTATTTTGTTCTGAAGGTATATCAAGTCATGGATTAAGTTTCTGGACTTGGATTATGCTAACGCTTTTTGTGCAGAACAAGGGACTTGACTTTTGCTATTAATGCTTTTGTACAAAACAGGGGACTTGTCTTTTGCTAGACTTTTGCTACTAATGCTTTTGTACAAAACAGGGGACTTGTCTTTTGCTACTAATGCTTTTGTACAAAACAGGGGACTTGACTTTTGCTAGACTTTTGGTACTAATGCTTTTGTATGACTTGGCTTTTGCTAGACTTTGCTACTAATGCTTTTGTGCAAAACAGGGGGCTTGACTTTTGGTCCTAAGTTATTTTTGAGGGTTGCTTATAAGATTTGGTTGTCACTCAAATCTATTTTAGGGGCATAGATTTTGTATTTTGTTGATTTGTATAGACAACCATGAACTCTTGGAAGCAATGAGCAGTAAATGTTATTTTAGTCTTGGTGCTTTCAAATTAATGCCTTGCTTGGATGTTTAGGATTTCAACGTAATACGCACTAGTTGATCATTTTATTTTTTCTTTGATATTTTTTTCACTCTATTTATTTGTTAGTTTGATACTAGAGGCAAATTTAAGAGCAAGAACACAAGTTATAGGACAAATTTTACCTTTTCTTTTTTCACCTTTACATTAAAAAAATTAAATAGTGATAAACAAAAGGGTAAGGAATGCATCTAGCATTCTTTATTTGTTTATCCAAAAAAAAAACTTGATTTGTATTATTGTAAGAAATTTGTTCTTTTGTTAAAAAAAAAAAGATAGAAAGACAAGAAACGAAACTTTCATTGCATCTGCAAACACTTGTGTAGCTTGAAAAGAGTAAAGAAAAGAAAAAAATGAAAAACAAGGAAAAAAAAGAAAAAAGGAAAAAAAAAACAAAGATTTGAAGTGCAAGAAAAGAAATGGAAATGAAAAACACAAAAAAAAAGCAAGGAAAAAGAAGAAAAAAGAAATAACAAAGATTTGAAGTCCAAGAAAAGTAACGGAAATAAAAAGAAACGCAAGGAGCTAAATGTGTTATGGCAGGGCCCATCATAATTGTTTAGTGCAATTTTGACTTTTCAATAGAAGGGTATAATTGGAAAGTAATTTTAAAAGTAGTTTGACTTTTTTAAAGTGACTCAAATTTTGGGACAAGTAAAAAGTGGAAATATGACATTAACAATGGGACGGAGGGAGTATTAGGGATGAAGAGAGTGAAGGTAGAACATTACAATGGAGATAAGGCAGTGTTTTGTGATTGTAATAAACTATGTTGAATTGCTACTTCATGGACATTGCAAATCCAGGAAGAAGATTCCACAACTGCAATAATTTTGGGGTATTTTTTTAATTTTGTCAATATATTTTAGGGGATTTTTTTGTTTTGGCAATATAATTTGATAAATTGAGAATTTAGTAATAATTTCTGATTTAGTTTCATTTGCTTTGCAATAACGAGCAATCTAATTTCTACACCTAATAGGGGTATTACTATTCATTAAAGTCATTGAAGGCTTGCAAGTACTTTTTGTGGTATGATCCACCAATGCCAAAGATGACGAAAAATATGATGGCAAAATTCTTGAAGGAACTAAGGAAAATCGAACGAGAGAACCATGTCATGAAAATTGAACTTGCAAGGTTGGAAGAAGAGAACAAGATGATGAAACATAAAATTTGAAAGCTAAAAGCTAGGAGCAAGTTGTCAGTTTTTGTAATCGTTTACTATGGTTGTTGGCAACGACAAAAATGAACATGCTGCCATAGATTTGGGGCTCCAAATGTTGGCTTAGATGAATTAGGGAAAGCTATATAGTTAGATTTAACCATTTATTTACGAAATTGGAAGGTTGCTATTAAATAACCTTATTTTTGTTTGGTTATAGTGTGGTTATAAAGCACTGTAAACCATTTGATGTAGCAATTGCCTAAGTAATATATGCAATGGTTGGATAAATTGAGAAATCTAGACATATTTCAAGGTTGTGGCACTAGGTGTCTAAAAAAAGTTTGGCAGAATTTTGCCATAAAATTTGACATTCCCTTAACATAACCAAACCAAACAATCCCTGTCAAATTTTGGGTAAAAAAGGACAATAGGAAAACTTCATATAACTAGCACATTTCAGTCATCCAAAAGAGATCAATGCCCAGCTCATAAGATTAGTTCATGTCTAGCCAACAAGAGACAAGTTAAGGTCACATAGCCTAACTTTTACAAAACAATGACCTAGTTCATTCCCTAAACACACCTCACAAGATTAGTACACTACTTTAATTACGATTGGAAGATCTATATTGAGGAGACTTCATTCCATAAACATCTACAACAAAAAATTAAGCCTAAGTTGATCTTCATATGCAGCACCTCATCCTCCCAATATTGTTATGCCTGCATCATCACTTTCATCTAACAACCTATGTACCTGTATAAACCAAATAAATACTTTAGAAAATAGACTAGACAATGAATTCAAGTTTGCTTAACAATTACATAAGCAAACTAACCGTTTGCTTTCTACTAGTCTCTTTCCCTTTTGAAGGAGGAAATAGACTTACACGGACATATCAGCTCTTCTCTTTCTCCAATCTCGAGCCTGAAATGTGTCACACATTTGCATATTATGTCAAATTGTCTTCCAAACTGAACACTTCATGACCTTTTAAGGCAAACTAGTATCAATTTCTTGTGGAGCTGAAGGCTGGATGTCTATCACTGCAGCATGTTCAGTACCTACCTCTGAATTTTCACCTGAGACTAGGCAAACTTACAAGTAGTTGAGCAATATAATGGCAAAAATTAAATTAACTTCAATTAGAATAATTTTTGGACATATATAATGGCACAAACCATCATTTGCTGAAGACAAGGTACTAGCTTCTTGTTGGTGTCTTTCACTCCCTTTATCATTATAGGCCTGATGTGCATCTATTAAACCAAAAGTTGCAATTTTTGTTAGTGATAAGTTTAGGACCAAAAAACCAAAATATTAGCAAACAATCCTAACTACTAGCTATAGTAGTTGAGGGGTAGTCTTCATTTGAATTATTCTTCTTTGTCTTACTAGTTCTTTTGTTATGGCCCAAATTCTTGCAAAAGCTACGTTTATTGGACTTAGATGATAGTGCCCTGCCAGAGCTATAACCAAGGAGCTCATTGGCTAGAATGAACCATGGGCATTTTCTCATAGTGTGGCTTCTTCATGGCAGTTTGAGCATTTCATTTTCACAAGTCGTGTTCTAGGTAGTTTTGTTGCACCTACCAAATTGGGCCTTGGTTCATCAGGCTCCCTTCTCCTTAATTTCCTTCGCCTACTAGGAGTTTAACTTCTTAGGAGGCAACATAAAATCTTTTTTTTTGACTAAACCCAAGCGTCCACTCACTGGTGCTATTGTTGGTTCGTATGCTTTCAAGTAGTTATTCCTTGAGTAGTATTGATGAACCAAGCTCTTGAGAGTCCCTCTAGTCAAGGAAATATAGCAAATAGCATGGTAGCAAGGCTAGCTAGTCAAGTCTTATCTTCTACATGTGCATGTTTGGTTCTTAACATCAATCACATGCTTTCTCCCATATGTGTGTGTCAGTTCAAACTGATCTTCCTTGAACCATAGTGCAATATTTGAAGTAACTTCTTCTTTGGCTTTTTCAAGCTTTTTTCGAATTTTGGACAGATCTTGTCATTTCTCTTCTTCATCAAGTCTCTTTTTGTTCTAAGCCGTTCCATTGGATAAATTCTGGTTGTCTCAAGCATTCTTCAGAATTGGCTTCTCCCTTGTATCCATAATGACCGAATTGAAGTTCTCACATAAATTGTTGATCAGAATGTCGCACTTGAGTGTGGACAGGATGTGGGATCTTGACCAATAGTAGGGTGAAGTGTTATTTGTCAACCATTTCCATGCATATCATCGTATTCCCTCAAGCTCTTGGTTCTGAAACCTTGTCATGTGTGATGGTCTAGCACAAGTCCAAAACCTCTGCTTCAATGCTTCACCTGCATGCAACTTTTTGAAGTTGTTGTGAAGGTGCCTAACACAGTGTTTATGCTCAATATCTGGAAGCACCTCTTGAATTGCAATCCCTAAACCCTAGTTTAAAGAAAAATAAAATAAAATATTTAAATTAAATTAAATTAAAAATAAAAAATCAATTCAGCAAGTAACCATGTATTTAAGTTAACAAACACTAGTGGAGTTTACATTTTGTTTGTCACTAATGCATGACCATTTTCTTTGGTCATAAATGGACAACTCACATTTCAAAAATTCACTAAACTATTTCTAAGACTTCTTGTTTTCAGCCTCTACTACTGCATAAGCAATGGGATAAAGGCAATCATTTGGATCCATCCCTACAACAAGTAACAATACCCTGGGATGTGGGCCTCTTAAATGGTAGCCTTCTGCATCAATCACAGACTAGCATACAGATTTAAATCCTTTTTTTTAGTGCCTCAAAACAGATATATAGCCTTTGAAATCTCTCTCTTCCCGTGTTTTCATCTAACTCTATCTACATGTCGCGCCCCATTTTTGATAAATAAATAAATGGTTTAAAAAATGAATTTTTTGTGATTGGAAAATGAGTTGTGATTTAAAAGAAAAAATGGGTCTAAATGGGGGGTTGAGAATGCGACGATTTGACCCAAAATTATAGTTTAAAAAGGGTTTTTGAAATAAAAATTGGAGTCGCCACTTGGTAATGAGTTAATGTGTACCAAGTCACAAAAAAAAATGAATTTTTAAAGAAAAAATAGGAAAAGGTAGTAAGAAACCCCTTTTAAACGACTCCTAGTCCACGTAAATCAAAGAAAAAGGTTCGGGAGTCACATTTGACAAAGGGGAATGCAAGGATGAAATCCAAGGCACCCCTTTGACCTAGCCAAGGCTAGTTGCATGATTTAATCAAAGATTTTCTTATTTTAACCAAAGAATTTATTACATTTGGATGCACTATATGAATGCAAACCCTAGATCTAGGGGTATTGGGGAAAATTTCTCTTCAAAGGTTGAGTGCTGCCAATCACATTAATTGTGAAGCCCAATAACGATCCTTTGAAGAAGTCACGAATAATGCGTGTGGGATGCAAATGAATGGAATGCATGTATGCAATGTGAGGACATGAGTTTGAAAAAGTAATAAAAGACAATAAATATGTAAATGAAAATGTGCACGTGAGTAGGCAAGGTACGGTATGTGAAATGATAATATGAAATGCATGTGTGGAAGTGATGATAAAAGTGTTCGTGTGCAAGTGAAGAAACGTAAAGGTGCACGTGTGTAAAATGGGAGGAAAAATGAAAGTGTGACGAGGGTATAAAATGGTAGAGTGGATTTGAAAATGCATGAGCCTAGGGAATTTATGTATATTGGGTACGGGGAGACCTAAATCGTGACTCAATTTGCCCTTTTATAGAGGGAATACAAGCGTGCTAAGGCTTAGAAAAAGCCACACTCGTCTATATCCCATATTTAAGGGGACTCTCAAGCAAATGAACTCTATAACTAGCATGAAATGCAAAAAATCCTAAAATGGAGGGAAAAGGGGTTCGAGGGGCATGCAAAATGATAAAACTAAAAAGAATGCATGACATGTAATGAACATGCAAACATGTACTAACGAGGGGAAATCCCTAAGGGTCTAGCGTTGGACTAGCCCATTCTATGAATTCCGACTAGCGTTGGACTAGTGGAAACGTACATTCATCCATCACATTCATTCATGGCTATGGAAAGCGAGTAGACATGTCAATCACTTATAAACACATAGCACATAACACTTAGCATGCATATCTAAATGCCAAAACCTAAGAAAACGATTAAACATATAGCACATAGACATGCAAGACACATAAGGTGATTAAGGCCCTAACTATTACATTTGCTAGCTAGGCACAAGTCTTCAACAGCTCTTCATCGAATGCTCCTCCAAACCTTATCTATTACAAGCCAAGAGGTGTACACATACCCCATAAAGAATAACTTAAATAAAAAGCAAAAGTAAATGACATAAATAAAAGAAATTAAGGAAAGGCTAAGAAAGCAAAGTAGACATGTATTTCTCGCAGAGCACGTTGGTTCACATAGAAGAGACACAAAAGATAAAAGAAATTATACCTCCCTTGAAATGAAGCTCTAATGGAGTGAAATCAACTTATTTATCCTCCAAAATAAAAGAAATGGTCAAGGTACCAATTTATTTGGTAAATAATCACAAAGGATAAAAATAAACATGAATTTGAATCAATTAAATCATGTCAACAACCCACATTTAAGAAGTCAAAAGAAGAAAGGACTTGATTGCAAAGATTGATAAAATTTTGGGGCCAAATTTAAAGAAAAAATAAAGTTCAAGGACCTATTTGCAATTAAAGTAAGGACCCAATTGAAAGAGGTTGAAAATATCCAAGGCCATAGTACAATTAAAGAGAAATTCAGGGAATGATTCGCAAATCCAATTATCAGATTTTTAATCAAACAAACTGTTGGGCCATTTTAATTATTTCTTGGGCCAAAACCACTTGGCCCAATCTGAAGTTCAAAACAAAAAAGAATGGGCCATTTTTATTTGTTTGGGCCAGACTCACTTGGCCCAACAGAAATCCAAGCAAAACAGACGAATTAGCCCAATTTTCATCAAACAAACCAGCCCAATCAAAAGAGTGGGCTTTTATCTCCTAAACCCAAATCAGAATTCAATCAAAACAAATAAATGACCCATTCCCGAAACCCAAACAAAAATAATCTCTTAACCCAAATCATTTACTTCACTAAAACCAACATAATTAAATCAACAAACTCATTAAACCACAAACATGGCCTAAAATCTAGAATTAATCCACCCAAAAGACATATTTGAAACAATTAAAAGATGATTAAATCTAAGGGATGAAACAAATTCAGCTTTTCCATATTTTGGGCCATATCAGATGATTAAATCATTTAAACTTCGATTTTCAGAACTTCCCAGGCAAAGCATCTGAAAAGCCTGCTTTCTTCTTCATTTATCCTACAACTTCATTCTTCTAGTGTCATGCCAAACGTAAGCAATGAAGACCAAACAAACAGCATTCTTTCACTCAAAACAAATCAACTATGCATTCTATCATTAAGATCCAATACTATACTCCGCATTCCCAATGATTTGAGCAGCCTAGATTACGCACAAAGGGAATTAAAAGAAACAGCTTTGAGCTGCTTGAGCAATCCATTAAACAGACCAGATTTCATTACCTCAAAGTACATCCCGACAAATTTAAAAAACAAAAGAAGACGTAGCAAAGAGACATAATGAAGGAGCTTGTATCGACCTTGCCTTAACAACAAAATTTGCACAGGGGCGAGGTTAATATGGTTACAGCAACTCATGGCTATTTACGTGTTTGCACAACAATAAGCACAACAACAAAGGAAAAAAAATAAGATGGCAATATGCATGCCAAGCATCGAAACAAGCATTCTTCTGCATTCTTTCATTTTGTAACTCATCCCAGGAACTACATGGAACAGATTCCAAGCAAACAAAACCCTCTAACAAATTCAGACCCCTCTGGATTAACAAAATCCAATCATGAATATTAAACATCAAAAATTCCAAAGAACATCAGTGGCCATTTATCCTTTCTACACAGCATAAAAATATCAGAAAGTTCCACTTCAATTCCCCTGGCTCCCTCCAAAATAAAATGAAGCTCACCTAAACTTCCTTACACACAAACTCACGACATAACTGAATTCATACCAAAGGAAGAATCAAGAAAAAGAAAAAACGGAGAAGGTGCCGTACACAAGTATATCAAGATCGAAACTCCCATTTCTGCCATGAAAATCAACTATTACGTTCTAACAAATACTGCTCTTGTTTTCTGTTCATCACTTTTTCACACGCAAGATGCAGACGATTCAACCATCAAATAGAATTTTCACTCAAGCATTTCATCAAACATGTTAAGGGTATTAAAAATTTTATCAATTCTTTACTCTATTGAAGCTAGAATCGGCCCACAAAATTTGTCAGAGACACAGAGAACAGTCCAATCAACATATACAGCATGTATATTCAAGAATCATGAACAAATAATTGAGAGGTCGCAACCAACATGATCATGGCCGCCTGTTTCGAAAGTTTGAACAGAACTGAAATTTTAAAAGAAAAAGACAACTTACATGCTTTTGCTTGCTCGAGCGGCAGCGGTGGCTATGATGGTGAGTGGAAAAAATGAACAGGGGAGGCAGAAGATATGCACCGCTGCTTCTTGGCGCCGGCGATGAGGAAGCGGTCGACCACGGCGAATGCAAGTCGTCGAAGAATAATCTTCAGCCGCTGTCTCTTTCCTTTCCTCTCTGATCTTTCCTGCTCTTTTTCAGCTCTCAAACGCAGCCTCCCTGTTTTCCTTTTTCCTTTCTTCCCAATTCGTCGAAGCCCTTTCTCCTCTGATCTTTCAGATTTCTGGTTGTCCTCGGTTCTTTTTTCTCTTTTTTTTTTTTTCAATCCCAGCTTCCCCCGTCACTCTTTTCTTTTTCAGTTCTTTTTCCGTCCGACCTCAGAGCTCCCTTCTCCCTCTGTGTTTTTTCTCCCTCCTTTTTCTTGCAGCTTGGCCGCGTTTTTCAGCTTCCTTCCTCAGCTCACGGCCCTCCTACTGATTCTCCCTTTTTCTTCCTTGCTTTGTTTTTTTTTCTATCCCATCCGCGGCTTCTTTCTTCTTGTTTTTCTTTCTTTTCGGCCCCCTTCCCCCTCATCCATAGCCTCTCTCCATCAGCCCTCAAAACCAACCTAAAAACCTTCCTCCATACCCAGCCGCCCCTTTCTCTCTATCCCTCTCGTTTTTTCTTCCGTTTCCCCCTTGTTTTTTTAATTTTTAGCCCTCACAAAATTCTACTTTGACCCCCAAAAATTCCTTAACTTCCCAAATGTCCCTAACACCTCACCCCTTAGGTGCTTAGTTGTCTAAAATATAGAAAAGACACTTGTCCAAGTGCATGCAGTCCCACTTGTCATTTTCACCTTTTTTCCTTTTTCCTTTTTTTCATTTTTCAATTTTCATTTTTTCATTTTCATTTTTAAATAATGAAACTAAATCTAAAACAACTAAAACATATTTTTTGAACGCTTTTCTTTTTTCCTTGAGAAATTCTACGCTAAAATGGCTAAAATAACTAAAACTAAAAGTAAATAAAACTAATTGTGACAAATAAAAATAGAACAAATAAAAAACGAACAGTAAATAAATAAATAATAAAACACCAAAAATTTGGTGTCTACACTACATATATACTGTGGAACTCGAATTACATTTTAGCAGCTCATCACAATATTCCCATAGCCTTTTGTATTGTTCTTTATAACTTGCGTGGGTTAAGATCTTTACTTTCATGGATGTCTTGTACACCTGTGGTATGGTGATGTGTACATTCAGTTCCGAATGGACCTTCTCCCTAAATTCTTTAACAATCACTCTTCTTATTTGACCTTAAAAAATCTACATACTTTCTAGCCAGAAAACCTAAGATAGCTCTCTCATTGTAAAATGTCCAACAACAAGTGTGCTCAAGTTCCATAGTCTTCATCACAAGGGGTTCATTACCTGATTCAACCTTAGAGGCAAACAACATCCATTCACAATTTTCAGCCTTGTATTTAACTCTTATCCGTGTAGCATCTTGTTTACCCACTAAATATCCTTGCCCCATTTGACTGCGTATTGTCTACTGCTAACTTGAACAACTGTTTATCATCAAAGATTTAACCAACATGAAATTTTGGATCTTCCATTTCAACTTCAGGCTAGGCCTGAATCTCTCAAGACTAAGCATCTTAGGCTTCTTCTACTATCTTCATCTGAGGAAGAGTGTCCGCTGTTCAACTCATTCGAGACAAGTGAATCAGATTCTTTATGGATTGGAATATAATCTCCTTCATCCAGATGCAAGTTTCTCAAACTAGCAGGCTCGGCTCTAGCTTTTTTATTCTTAGTTGCAAGTGTTGGAATTTTCTATTTTTTAGGTTCCTTGCCCTAGCTCTTCCTTCCACTATCAAGTTGAATCTTTCCAATTCAACCACCTAACTCTTGCTTAGGAGCAACAACACAGCTATGGGATATCACATCTTCATCATCATGGCTAAATTCGTAATCGCATCATGGAAGCTTTAACCTTGGGATGATTTCAAAAGGGCAGCACCATTCGCTTCATCATCATCATTTCCTCCAAGATCAACAGCTTCTATTTTTCCATTTTTTGCCTTCATATGCTCCATTTTTTGTCCACATAAATTGGCATGTCTTCGACGTTAGCTAAATCAACATCGTCAAAGGTTACATCCACATACACACTATCTTTTTCTAATTGAATCTCCTCAGCATTTGCTACACTTGAACTCCTAGTATTGTTATTAACATCTCTTATATGGAATTCGTGGACAATATATACATCAACTTCTCTATTTGTTTTTGCCAAGCCACATAAATTGTAGCATCCTTACCATCTATTTGCCATAGTTTGAGCACATTATTTTCACAGGGCATTCTATATATCATCTTGAATCATTTGGATAGCCCACAAGAGTACAGAAGTCATGTAAAATTGATTTGCTAACTCTTATTGGAATAACTCTTTCAAATGTTTCTACGCTACCCCTACGTATGTCTCTTATGGATCTTTAACATAAACACCACCATAATGTAACCTCAAAGTGAAATAGTCCATATATTGGCCTGGTTTTTTTATTTCCAAAAAAAATACAAAAATTCTTTTGTTTAAAAATATAGAACCTCGGCCCCAACTATGTCCGACTTTTCATGAACATGAAAACTATGACATAGTATAATTTAAAGGCAAAGGGACCACATCACAACTTACAAACAAACAAAGTTACTTTAAAAAATACTAAATTTCGCCATCATAGATTCATCATAGATTACAAAAATACACATTAAATTTAAAAAAATACCAAAATTTCACCATCATAAATCATAAACAAATAAAGTAAAATTGCAAAAGCACCATACCCAAAGTAAATGCTTTATCTTTTCCATGTGAAATTTATAAGTACTTTATTGTGCTTCGCGCACACATACATAACCACAAAAGTTTATTCTCAACCATGTTCTTCTTTATATTTTATTATGTTTGATTAATAAAT